TCCGTTCATGGAGGGTGGGTGGGCTGAATAAACATGAGCTGATTGTCCTTTAATTAATGTGTTTGTATTTGATTGGATTTGAACGTCTATCAAGTCTTTCGATTTCAATTCTACTACCGAGCACGGGACGTGGGATCGTGTGCAGACGTTGTGAGAGGCACCGACATGTTCCACACGGCCGCGCTTTGCACCGAGTCTCAAGCTTAGCATGCAATTGCAAGAAAGCCTCAGGGCAAGCCTGCTCACGTCAATGTGAAAGTTTCTGCGCTCCAATGCTTGGAGAAGCAGCATCGTTGGCTAAGGCAACCAGAAAGTGCCACTAGCTGCAACGTGACGGAGACTTTTGCTTGCTACAAGGACAAGACGTACAGCGGATTCTATGACGCCTGCCCTCCACGCTTGATTTTTGTTCGACAAGCCTGCCAATGCTCAACTGTATCAGCAAATCATGCAGGTTTGTATCCCGAATGTTGAGTGTCCACTGACCAGCATCGAAAATGCCTGTGGCTCAGACTTTGGAGCAACCAGAGGGGGAGACTCCAAGCGAGAAAAGGGGGAGACTATTTGAACGGGTGTTGGGTGGAAAGCTTCACTCACTTTTAGCTGTTTTAGACCAATCCTGTTTCGTATAGGTCACTGCCTGCCAACTGGCCTGTAGCTTGCAGCCAGCCTGTCGTGCCTTGCGCTATCAGGCAATGATCACTTAAAGCACCATTTCAGGGTTTGATCATTGACCTAGTAAATTATGGGGAATAAGCATCAGTGTCAGTGCGTGAACAAGCTGGCTGATAAGGCGATTGACCGATATGCAGTATGCAGAGGAGATTCACCCAGAGTTGAAGTGAAAGGGTTTCCAAATTGCAAGGCAGCCTATGGTCATTGCTATCTCATTGACAGCAGCTACAATCAACTCGACGATAATCCACTTTACGAGACCACAGGCCCAGACACCAGGGTGTCATGCTGCAATGCCGTTTTGGTTTGGACATCACCCTGTTGCAAGTGCACAGTTCTGAGTTCTTTGCCTGTGTCCAGGCTGTGCCCGAAATTTGGGCTTGGAAAGCTTAACTGGGTATGAGCTCGAGGCACTTGGGGATTGTAGCAGACCTATTGAACAATCTGTAAGTGGCTGAAGTGGGAATTCGCTGAAAGGGAGCCTCTTGGAAGGAACTCTCACCCACTTGTGCCATGTGCATTATATAACGATTCTTGGTTTGTAGAGCGGAGCTGACATCGGTGTGACGTACAGGTCGCAAAAAGATGCGAAGATCCCGAAGCTGACAGCAGCTATCGACTGAGTGTTTCTCACGATGAAATTGAAGATGGCGATGCTGGCTGCAAGCTTTGGCTCAAAGACGACAATCCAACGTCTCTATCCTTTTATTCTATTCATGAAAGTCACTATAGTCACTGCAGCCTCCGTCAGAGCCAGTAGGTGGAAGTTTCAATCGATTATATATATATAAATAGATTCGAGATGTATTGTATATATATAGAATAACATGCGTGCCTTATTTTGAAGATGTGAGTTGATAAAGCGTGAGGTGATGACCGTGTGTTCTGTGGTAAAGACACGAGCAACGCAGTGCTCATCTAGACAACATCTTAAAATTTCAAGAGAACCATATAAATCACTCGGCCTGTCCGATTCATAGTAGCTACGCTACTCCCTACTCCTAACTACTTTCAGTTACTTACACCTACTTGACCTCACGATCTATCCCTCTCCTCTCCCATCGTCTCCCATCCTCTCCCCCTGGCTTCACTTCAATCACTTACCGCTTCACCGCTGGCTTCGCCTCTCTTAGAAATGTAACCTACTAGCGATGGCTTCTAACCTACTAGCGATGGCCTCCAACCTACTACCTACTAGCGATGGCCTCCAACCTACTAGCGACGGCCTCCAACCCAATAGCGATGGCCTCCAAGCTACTAAGCGATGGCCTCCAACGTACTATAGTGATCGCCTCCTGTCTACTAGCGAAGTCCTCCAATCTACTAGCGACGGGCTCCAACCTACTAGCGATGGCCTCTAGCCTCCAACCCTACTAGCGATGGCCTCCAACCTACTAGCGACGGCCTCCAACCGGTTGGAGAGCCTCCAACCTACTAGCCATGGGTGTGTAGTTTTTTTATATATATATATATTTGTTTACACATTTTTTCTTTTGGTTTCTCGTTATCTCCGCCTTTACTGTGATTCTGTTTGCTGACGACTTTCTTCTCTAGAAAGACATTAGGTAACTTTCTCTAGAGAGCTCTACTTTTGGCCCTTTGGCAACCCCTCCCTAGAAATCGCTACTACTGGTGACCATGAGAGACTGTTTTCTAGAAGGGTTTCTACGTTTCTACTTGTGTATATATACATACCTGTTTTTAGAAACATCTACTTTTCGATACATCTCACTTAAGACATCTCGACTTTTTTGCTGCTTTTCTCTGCACACTGCTACTTTCGACTACTTGCTGTAGAAAGCATCACATTTTCATGCTCTTCACCGTCCCCCCTAGAACCGCGCGACAGACACTGATCCTTGGCCAACCTTCCGCAGCCCTGACAAGGTGCTCTGTCTTCTCCGATTCCATTCGCCCCTAGAACTGCTCCGATTTCAAGCCCCTGTAGAGCTGAGCAACAAAAGTTCACTTCCAATCTTCCACAGCCCTGGCGATGCGTTCTGAATCTTTCGATTTTACTCCCCATATGATGCAAAGCGCCTCCCGAACAATTTCCGCAGCCCTGACAATGCGCTGAACGAAGGACAGTCCGCATCCGTTCCGCGCCCGTCGCTTTATCAGACTCCCCGTTTTGCCTCGGAACTCGGAACCTTCTCTTCGAAGCTTTTATTTAAGATATTTTTTCAGGATGAGGCTTAGATTTGGGAGAGCAGTGGGAGCTTTTGAAAGGGATTGCTTCCTTCCCAGGCTTTGTAAGCATTCAACCTGGCCTAGTGTGCGGGGCCTTTGCGCCAACGAAAGGGATGGAAAGGACATCGACATTGAAGTTCGGAACTGTAGAAAACTGCTTGGGACAACAACTTTTGTCGAGAAGCTTGACAGCAGCAGCATGCCTTGTAGCCTGTAAGAGCTGTTTCAGATTGCAGGTCTAATCAAACAACTGTTGCAGCAGCCACCCAGCCAGAGGTGCACTTCGTCTGAAACCGTGAAACCATATTTCTTTTCCTGTTGCGCAATCAGGATGTTGCAGTTGAAGCTGTATTTGGCGTTACGATGAGGCATGGGCGACATGGGACAAACCAGTAACAAACCTGGTACATATTCAGGATCTCAAACAAGCCTGGCACCAGAACTCATAGAAGCCTAGAAACGCCTCTAGGAGCGTTCATCAAACAGCAAATGAGAAGCTTTCTGCTCCGTGCATCCTTTTCGTTCGTAGCGAACTGATAGAAGTGAGTTGCCAGGCTATCATTCACACCCGGAGCCTTGAGAGACTTCATGCCAGCAAGAGTCTTACCGGGAAGGGGCAAATATGAGCGCAACTTTGAGAAAGCAATTTGGTCAATTTGGTCCTAAAGTTGCAGTCCCTTGGCCAAGATACGTGCTGATGGTCCACGTCTCGAGATGGATGATAGCACTGACTGCGCTTGAGCCACAGCTTGGAGCAGTCAGACTTCCAACTTCCACACTGTCCTCATGGAATGGCAAGGTCTTCCAGCAATGGAGCTTCCAGGTCATGCTCAACAAAAGTGAGGCTGAACAGAGCAGGGACAGATTGGAGTTTGCGTTAGAGTATAGTGAAAACCAATAGAACGGTGTTGCTGGAATTGCCCTCTTCAGTTTCAGGCTCCGTCTGACGGTCCAGTGTCCTGCTGGCAGTTTCCCATGGTTTGTGACCAGGCGCTTTTGGCACATGTAGAAAGCGCAAAGCAGAGCAAAAGCTGTTAAGCCAAGTAGCATGTCTTGTGAGGTGTGGCACACTGTCCCAAGCCACTGCGCAGATAATCTTCGTTCCTTGACGAATCCCAGCAAACTGCATGTTATGTGTTCCATTTGTCTCATATCTGTACAGCTTTGCTTCAGAAACATCCTCGTTGTTTTGCAAAAGCCAAGGTGATACTGCATGGCTTGTTGCCCAGATCACTCTGACTGCAGAATGCTACAGAGAGATGTCCGTGTAGAGCTGTTAAAGCTGTTCTGAGGTGTGACGTCCGTGTGTACTGGAGCCAGGAGCTGTACCAGCTCCGTTACCAAGCTGCAACTTCAAAGCCGCTAAGAAATAATCGCTACTAGGAGCGATCGGATGCTACTAGGGGCTCCTGGCCTTACTACTAGGAACAAGAAGCTACTAGGGGCTCCTGGCATCGCTACTAAGAGCGATCGGACGCTACTATGTAGCTTTCCGAAATAGCTCCCGATGTATGACAGATACTTCAGTTGGCCAGGTATGCGGGAGGAGTGTGTTGACCCTATGGCCAACTCACCGTACATCAACCAGCCGCTCTGGGTCGTATCAGCATCGGCCTTGTTGCAAGCAGATTTACATTTCCGAATGAAACATGATCATTATGTTTGAAAGACTGAAGAAGTGCACTTTGTGCTTCAGCAAATTTGCACCCTTTCCGAACCATGAAATGTACCAAGCCCTTGACCTGAACCTCAGGGTGTGGCAATGGCAGCAGAGAGTGTAGAGAACTTTACCGTCACGGTTGGCATTGTTGACTACAACATATCTCTCACGTTTGACTGGGATGCTGGGATCCCAACTTGCTGTGCAGATACAGTAAGACGGTGCACAGAAAACTGGTAGGGCATCGGTTTGTCGTCTTACATGTGTGCATTTCTTTTTTTTATCCTGTGCACGCATCCTCAACTCCTGGAGTCCTCAACTTAGGCTGGTGAAGACAATGACTGCATATTCACAGGTGCTGCTGGCCTGAACCTGTGTTGCACTTTTGTCCCACATGTTCCCGGTCAAGGAGGTAGTCAACGTTTCTAGGTCTGAGGTTCAGGCGACCAAGGTTCAAGCTTGGATCAACAGATTCAGTAGATTTCACGAGGAGAGTGCTGCAGCAAACAGATGCCCCAAAACAACAAGCCAATCTCAGAGTTTAAGGCTCAAACCTTACGCTTTACACTGGTGCCTTGCATATGAATACCCCCGCTCGATTGTTTTTGCATAATAGGGAAGCACATGAGATAAGAGCAAAACGCGATACTCGATCGTCCTAGACGGTGAGACCAAGATGACAGGCTGGGAGCTGCAACTGCGGGCCGAAGATAGCGACTGGGAAGACATGCATCATTGCTGGAGTCTGAGAATGTTGCGAAATGCTCAAAGATGCCTCCCAAGGGTCTCAAGGGATCGTAAGGGTTTCTTCGACCTTTCTGGTTCTTTCTTGGTTCCTTTGGTTTTGGCAGATTGTCTCTAAGGCACAGATGCAAGGAAGGAAGATGTGAATTGCACACTCACAGAAGGCAGAACGGTTTATTTCAATGAGTTGAAGTCACACATACTTTGTGTTGGGTCGTTATAGGCATTTCTTCGCAGACAACATATGATGCGAGGGCCAGTTCCTGAGTTTTACATTTTTGTGTCGACCGCTTGAACTCTGCTACTCAACTCTGCCACACTGTACACTTGACAGCAACAATGTAAATTCTATGCATCGGCAGCGACACTGCGATGATTCTCTTGAAGGTTCGTGCTTTTTGTTTGGATCCGCTCACCAAAAGCAATTGGACGGAAATGATGAGGATGGCTGGGATCCTTGGACATGCTGAGAGACAATTCTTTGGCTCCTCAACTGACTTTATCACTTGACTTCACCGCTAAGTTTACAACTCCAGCCATCCCAGCAGACGCACCTTTGGTGAGTTGGGGCCTCAAGACTCATTGAACCCTTTTGACGCCTAACATCATTTTAAGGCTTTTCAGGTAAAGTTTCGAAGTTCTTGGTATTGCAACCTTGTCCTAGGTCTGTTGACCATGGGGCCGCTTGAAACCCAGAATGCCTCTCCACAATTTGTTGCCACGGAATCCTTCAAAGTTGACTATGTGGGACACAACATGAGCTCACAGGCATGAGATGTGGTTTTCACTGGAGCCACAGGACTTTCCCAGATGTTTCGTTGTTGCGGATCCCTTGAAGCTTGTGGCAAAAGGACTTTGAAGAACAGCTGAGCATTTGCACACGTGGGCGACACCTGACTTGCAGGAACTCCGCGATTGTATCTCCCTTGGATTTGCCAGTCACCTTCAGGCCGTGTGACAGACAGCCTTCTTTTGCCAGCTTGGTGGCTCCTCTCCCCGGCAGACTTTCACGTGATCGGCACAAGCTGAGGTTGGAATAGGGACTTGTAGCACTAGTAGCAGGAGCCCTTCCTTCCACGAAAGAGAGTGTGCTTAGTGCTTAGGTCGACTTGGGAGTTGATCTAACGGCCCTTGATTGGTCTTCTGTAAAGACTTGCCTCTCTGGTCTTTAACACACTCCGCGAAAGGTGGCATTTGCAGATGATCCATCAAAGGCTCCCCCTTCCAGCACATGCCAACTACAATTAGTTATGTAGATAACTTAGATACACTATAACTATATAGATTATGTAGATCATTAGATATGTTCTTTAGAAACATTCTTCGCGGTGGGTATTGGACAGAATTCGCAAATATGTATATATACATATATACATGGTACAATGCCTGGATTGAAGATTGAAGATTCTGAAACTTATTCAACTCAGCCCTGGATTGAAGATGGAAGTTTCTGGAAAAACTTCTTCAATCCAGGGAATTGGATTGAAGATTGAAGAATTCCAAGGCTGGGTTGAAGAAGCTTTTCTTTTTTTTCAGAATCTTCAATCTTCAATCGAGGGCTGGGTTGAAGAAGTTCTGTCAGAATCTTCAACCTGCAATCCAGGGCTGGATTGAAGAAGTTTCCCAGAATCTTCAATCATCAATCCAGGGCTGGATTGAAGAAAATCTTTGGCATCTTCAATCTTCAATCCACGTCCTTGGAAAAGTTTGCCCAGAATCTTCAGTTCAACTCAATTATATATATATAAATATTCAGAAGGGATTGTCATGGGGGGTGGGTTTTTAATTCATAGGTTTTTCAATCATTTTCTAGTTAAGGAACATGAAAAGCCTGCAGAGGATCAAAAAAAACAAGAAACAATTTTCTGAGACTTTCGACGAAAATAGAGAAGTCTGCAGAGGACCAAAAAAAA